AGCGCTGTCTTGAGGAAATAGGAAACTCACTTGAAGCTGTGTGCGCCTCTAAACACCCTCACTGGCCCGTATGCAAAGTCGATGGTCTCTTCAGATACTTACACAATATTCATCATGGAAATGATAGAAAATGAGACATTCTGAAGGAGCACTCCAAACCAGTGTGGTTCCATTGTTAGACATCAGTCCTCCTGGACAAACAGAGCTTGAGTGAATGGCGAATTATAGCGAGCTCTTCACCGCTGTGTGATGAATATGTTACATCAGTCAGTGAAGGATAAGAATTTCTAATGAGTTCTGTTGCTTGAGCAGAGGATGTAATTAGCAGGAATTCCTCGCTGATATAGAGGTCGCTGTGAAATTTTGCCCTGGTCAAGGAATGTGACCTTTTGACATGTAACCCTAAAACAGATAAGCAGAGGTATGCCACTAAATAAACTCCTGCTTTGTTACAACAGCAGGTGGTGCAAACGTGAACTCAAGGAACGGGTACAAAGCATATAGTGTGCAAGTACACAACAGTGTCGGCCATATTGGTCCAATAACTGAGATGCATTCATTGTAAAACAATCATCAAATATTAAATTATTTAGACACACAAAATAAACTCAACACTTAAGATCATCTTTTTATTCCCCTGTTCTGTTAAACAGTTCCAGGACATATTGAAGAAGCACTAATATTGACACCACCTTTGCTAACACCACTCTCTTATGTCAACCACCAGCGCCACGAGTTGAGTTTTACTTCGTAATATATACCACAAAAAATTAAAAACAAGTCACGACTCGTCTCCGGTTGTCAGGCAAATATTGTTGCTGGATTGAAAACTTGTGCGAATTAATTCTAATACTCAGTGTCCCAACTGAGCACCCGCCCCCACTCCTACACACACACACACACACACTCATTCTCATAGAGAGTTGCCCATGTGATTCTTTCAGCAAAGCCGCTCCCTACTCTCCAAAACTTATTATAAGAAGGGCCCCCGCTACTCTGGTCGCCATGGTGACCGTTCTCTCTGCTGTGAACTTTGGAGCAGAAAACACACAGCAATGATTGTGCCTGACCTTGGTGTGCTTTGTGGAGGGCAAAACTTTTGACTTGTTGTGGCATTTTGCAGCACGCTGGTTGTAGTTCTAGTGACGTCAGGGCAAAATTGTTTTTTATTGTGAGGAAAAAAAAACATGAAAGCATTTTTTTTTTATTAGACATTTTTGATGTTGGATAAATGCTTCCGTTTGATTCCTATTTTCACATTTCTATTCCAAAAATCTCTTAGGGAAATGGAGAAGTTGTTTCTAATCCAGAGCATTGTAAGTTTGATAGATTTCAGCCTGTCAGAGGAGGGGCGTTCAGGGCAGTGTCAGCAGTTTGTCAAACATGAAACAGATCATTCACAGAACTGGACCTGGGTTGACTAGAAATATTTAGTCTCAAATCATTTCTAATTAAACAAGTGGATTTGTACATCAAAGGCAGTATCACAGTGAAAATGATGAAAAATCAATAACAAAAAAGCAAATATTGGAAATAGCAGTGAAATTTTCAGAGTTGAAGATAGTCAACATCCTTGCAAAGATGTAAAAAAGAAACCTTTAGCCAATGAGAAGAAGCTACAATAGGAGAGAGCCACCTGTTGCACCAAAGCCAGTGGTTGAGTCCAGCTCCGGGTTTTACATCTGCAGGGCTTGTCATCCCTTGTGTGTGTGTGTCCGTGCATCATGGTGGTTTCTCACTCATTCTCATGGTAATTGGAGCTCAGGAATGGAGCTTTTGCAGCGGGCCTAGAACAGTCCACAGAGCTGATGTCAGGTTGACAATGAACTACAATGGAGGTCATTGTTTGTGTGTGTTTCTGCCTGCTTTGGTTTTTGAAGTGGTTTAAAGAAAGTTACATGCAGCAGGTGGGTGATGCCTCATCATCTTGTCCTTTTCTTCTTTCATGTCTGTAGGACCAGAGATTAATCACTTTTTTTGCCATTGTGTTGCCTCGTTTTTAACTCCTTTTATTGAGAAGAATAAAAATTATTAATTGACAAAAAGACATGATTTTAATTCAATTCATAATGTGTAAACAGAAGGCGTGAAAGAATCAGATTACTTCAGTTTTGTATTACAATCAGTTGCACTCCCTGTTTGACAATCTGCGGTGCACAGTCCTCATTTACCTCATTTGCATTTGAATAAAAAAATAATATTGTTTTTATTCCCTTTTTTGTACATTTATGACTGAGCAATATATGATTTTTTTTTTGCTAATTTTTAACAAAAAATATTTACATAGCTGTGTATTTTGTGGAATTTTATTACATTTATTTAATCTTTTTAGACTTTATTTTTTGTGATTTTTTTTTAAATGTCATAGCATCGTATAACAATTTTTTTTATAATAATACATTTGGACACATGTCTGTTATGACCATCTGCTCTTGACCATGTTTTAGGACAGAAAATATAATAATTAATGTGTTTTATCAATATACATTGTTTTAGTAGTGAAACTTAAATTCTAGTTTCTGAAAGCAAAAAGTTATCTTCGAAAATTCCAGTGAGTAAAAGTCCATATGATCCGCAACAATGTGCAATGTTTATAGGCCATATATTTAAATTACATTTTGGTCAGTGGTGTTTGATGTTACTGTCCTCTTGTCCCTCTAATGGTAATCTACGGTGGTGTAATAAGGCCAGAGTTCTTAGAAACAAGGAGCAATTTTACACCACGCCCTACAGTAGAAGTCCATTTCCTGCTGCCCCCATCAGTGTGTTCAAATGTGTCCTCTTGTTATTAAGATCAACAGTTCTGTTGGTGAGTTAGAGTGAGGTTGATGGACTGAAGTGTCGAGCTGAAAAAGCTCAGTAACAATATGCGAGTCTTTTGTTGGTTGTCACTGTGTGTTTCACTTTGACATACAACACAACGTCACATTTGCTCGCCTTGTGCGATAATAAAGGACCTGAGCAGCAGCTTATACTCACTGTAGGTAGTAATTCATCTTTGATTTGTGGCGTCGCCTTAATGCTGTTCAACAACTGTCCACTGTGAGGTTTGTTACAAGGGCGTTGACCTGCTGCTGCTGAGTGACACCTGTTGTGATTCGCTGTATTATATAAATACATCATAGATCCAATGTGTGTGTGTGTAAACGTGAGTTTTCACCAAAGTAGGTCACACTGTTTGGCGGTGATGGAGAAAGGCTGCGTATTTAGTATGTGAAGTGGAGCAGATGATGTGCCTGTGTGTGCGTACGGACGATCAAACATGGGAAGAAAGCAATTGATTCCAATTAAATTGCCAGTCTTTTGTGTCATGTCTTCAACCTGTTGGTGAACTCCGTTCTCACCAGAGCGGGAGGTCACTGTTGTTGGCCGTTGGCAGAGCTGCGGTGAGAGAGAGACGGCCGCGGCGAGGAGGAAAGGAGAGAGGAGAAAAGCTTCTTTAGGTTGAGCTGAAGCCAGGTCATGTGATAAAGGCCCAGCGAGTGATAGACACTAAGACAAGTAAGGGAAGAAGGCTCACCCGAATCCAGTCTCGCATATCAAAAAAAGGTCACAAAATACCTAAATGTGCTTTTTTTCCCGGAAATGTTATGTAACTATTAAATATATTCAATGTCTTTTCAATAACCTTCAAGTTTAAATCTGTGACCGAAATTCCCACGAGAAAGGAAATGCCTTGTGTGAACTTGGAAACACAATATGGGTTTTATTGTTATCCGAACCACAGTACTGTAAGGCTGAAGCTGTCTGTGTGTGTGTGTGTGTGTGTGTGTGTGTGTGTGTGTGACGCATGCCACCTCTGCATGTGGTAGGACTTAGGTAAGCAGAGT